AGGACTCACACAAGAACCCTCATTTACAATAAAAGACAAGTCAACCCCCTGTGCAACTGCGGTAATACAGCAAAAAATGTGATACATTTTTAGTGTTATATTTATAATCCTATCCAACAAACCTTTAGAACCACGCTATAGTCTCATTCATTAAAAAGAAAATAGGTTTCTTAGCAACATTTTGAGGTGTGAGTTCAGAAGCCACCCTAATCACATACAGCTTCTGCTAAGGCTTGCAAGCAAGCCTCTGTTGAGACGCCCACCCCACACCTGGTTGTGCCTTATTCTTCCCATGAGTCCTTCTCTTCCTGTTAACTCCTGTGTTTAAATCTATGTTAAAATCTACTTAATACATGGCTTCACACTGGCTTATCCTGAAATTCTATTTTGTGACAAAGAACGCAGCTACACCTAAGTGGGGGACTCTGAAAAGACCTCCTGAGTCTGCTGTAGTGTGCAGCGTAGGGCTCTGCCTCCTGCAACCACTCCCACTGCTGCTGACAGACACTACCAGGTAACCAAACACACAGGTTTCCAGTACTGGAGCAATGATGCTATTATAAATCACATTTCTCACACTGTATTTCCTATCTTTACAGAGATGGAGACTTAGAAAGGAAATCAAATCTCTTCAAGTCGGAAGTCTGGGAGTCAAAAGCAGCATGACACCTCCACTCCCAGCTCTGTCAGATTTCCTACAAGCTTCTTCACAATCACCCACATATTCTGACGCCCTCTTCTGGCCTCCTTGGCATTGCATGATAGGGGTGCACTCACATACATGCAGGCAATACACTTGTACACATAAAAATAATATTTCAAAAAGCAAAACAAAACCCCAAACACCCCCCCCCTCCAACTTATTACAAAGCCAGGCATGGTGATATACAACTGTAATCCTAGCACTTTGGAGTCTGAGGCAAGAAAATCGTGTTCTTGGCCAGCCTGGATTACAAAGTGAGAGCCTGTCCTCCAGACAAACAAAGCTAAAACCATGTATTAGGAAACTGTAGGAATCAAAATAGTATGGTATTGGCAGGAGAAAACATATAGGCCAATTAAATAGACCTAAATGTCCAGAAATAAACCCATAGTTCAATAGCCAACAGTGTTTTAAATTGGTGTGTGCACGATATGGACCACATGTGGAGGTCAGAAGACAACTTGCAGGAGTCAGTTCTGCCTTCCACTATGTGGGTTCTGAGGGAGAGAGAGGGCGCTTGGGTGCATGTGTGCCACAGTGTGAATTGGGACAACTTTCAGGAGTTCAGAGGACAACTTTTTCAGAAGTCAGCTTTCGCTATGAGTTCTGAGGATAGAACTCAGGTTATCAGGTTTGTGAGGCAAAATGCTTTTTACCCTCTGAGCCATCTTGCTGGTCCCCAGCTGTCTTAGTTTGCTTTTACGTTGCTGTGATAAAACACTGACCAAAAGCAACTTGGGGAGGAAAGGTTTTATTATATCTTACAGGACACAGTTCATCATCAAGGGAAGTCAGGGCAGAAACTCAAAGCAGGATTCCCTCTTTCCAGGTTTTTCTAGGTGTGTGTGAAACTGACAAAGAACTACGACTGCCAATCGATTCTATGGGGAAAGAATAGATGAGCAGATGTTGCCAGAATATATGGATATAAATAGCTAGTAGAATGAAGTTATTTGTTGTTGGTAAGAATATAAAAAGAATAAAACTTTCCTCCTTATGTTACCATAGGTATTTTGTTTCAGTAATGAAAAGCTAACACAAGCATCAACAGCTGTTATAGCATGTGACACATACATACAATAGAAACATTTCTTCAGTATAAACAGCAATAAACTGGGCATGGTGGCATATGCCTTTAATCCCAGCACTTGGGAGGCAGAGGCAGGAGGATCTCTGTGAGTTTGAGGCCAGCCTGGGTTACACAGCAAGTTCCAGGTCAGCCAGTGTTTCTTAGTGAGACCGTTTATAAATAAATAAATAAACAAACAAAATGTGGTGGTTTGAATAAGCGTCCCCCATAGGATTCAGGTATTTGAACACTTGGGGTCAGTTTGGTGAGTGTAAGGAACCTTTAGGTGTGGCCTTGATGGTGGAAGCACATCACTGGGGGTGGGATTTGAACGTTGTCTAGTTCCACTTGCAGTTTGCCTGGTCTGCTTCCAGAAGAGGCCTGCTTGAAGATGTGAGTTAATCTTAGCTTTCTACTCTGGCTGCCTCCTGCCATGCCAATCTGTTGCTGAGGGCTGGAGGATTTCTGGAAAGTTGTGGTCTTCAGTCTATGTTAGAAGCCCAAAGAAACTAGTTGTAATATCACAAAGGGATTCCAGAGCAACAGGATAGATGGATTTACCAGAGGGAGAGCAGGCAGGCAAAAAGCAATAGCTTCCTTCCTCCATGTTCTTTTATATGGGCTGCCCTCAGAAGGTGCTGCCTGCATTTAGGTTGTTTTCCTGCTTCATACCATAATTTGATCAAGAAAATCCCTCACAGGATGCCTAGCAGCTTGCATTTTAGTTGATTTCAGATCTAGTCAGGTTGACTGCCAAGATTAGCCATTGCACATGGATATGTAGACTAGGCAGACTTAGAGAGGCAGAAAGTAGATTCGCAGTTATTAGGGGCTGGGAATATGTTTTGAAAATAGGCAGTTGTGGGGCTGGAGAGCTGGCTCAGCAGTTAAGAACACTGGTTGTTCTTGCAGAAGACCGGGGTTCATATCCCAGCACCCACATGGCAGCTAACGACTGTAACTCCAGTCTCAGGACATCTGACAGTTTCTTCTGACCTCTGCGGGCATTGCACGACACAGGTGCATTTACCTACATGCAGGCTATACACTTATACACATAAAATAAAAATAATAAAATTTAAAAATTAAAAAAAAAACAAGGCAGTTGTTTTGTGATACAACATTGTCACTGTAATCTTAATTGCTATTGAGTGTATCTGCCAAATGCCTTAAATAAGAAATTTTATCTTACCACACTAAAATGAATTAAAAAAAATTTAATCTTATGTGTATGAATGTATTGCCTGCATGTATGTGAGTGCACCTGTGTCGTGCAGTGCCTCAGAGGTCAGAAGAGGGCTTCAGATTCCCCTGGAACTGGAGTTAAGAATGGTTCATAGCCACCATGTGGGTGCTGGGAATTGAACCTGGGTCCTCTGCAAGAGCAGTCAGTGCTCTTAACTACTGAGCCATCTCTCTAGCCCCATAAATTTAAAGAGGGTAATTTGAAAAAGATATTATTTTATGTGTATGAGTATAGTGCCTGCATGTATGTAAGTATGGATAAAGTATAAAAGCTTTTAATCTTTTACACTTTTAATCTTTTATAACTGAGAAGAATCAAGGACTAAATACACTCCTCAGCTACATGACAAATGATGGATCAAAATTTTTTTTTTTTTTTTTGGTCTTTTTGAGACAGGGTTTCCCTGTAGCCCCAGCTGTCCTGGATTCACTATGGAGACCAGGCTGGCCTTAAACTCACAGAGATCGCCTGCCTCTACCTCCCAAGTGCTGGGATTAAAGGCATGTGCCACCACGCCCAGTGTTGGATCAAAAATTTAAAAACATGCTGGGAATATAGATCAGTTGGTAGTGCCTGGCTAGCATGCATGAGGGCTCTGGGTTTGATCCCCAGTGCCACATAAACTGGGAGAGGCAGCATATATTTGTAAAATTCCAGCACTGGGGAGGTGGAGGCAGGAGGATCTTAAGGTCGAGGTCAGCCTCAGCTATAAGCTACCTAGGAAGTTCCAGGGCAACTCAAGAGACGAGACCCTATCTTTAAAAAAAGGAAAAAAAAGAGAAGTTGTAGTGTGTTGGCTCATGCCTCAGCACTCAGAGATTGCTGCAAGTCTGAGACCTACCTGCCTGGGCTATGTGGCAAAACCTGACTCACTCCCCCGACCCCAACAACCCCAAAACTCAACTATAAGACAGTCACATGTGATAGCATACACCTATAAATTCCAGTACTCTTTAAGTTGAGGAAGGAGGATCTGATTTGTGGTTAGCCTGGGCCATAGAGCAACTCTCTAACAAAACAAACTTCAAAATACCTCAAAATAGAGGGGAAAGTTAGGCCTCAAGAAATGCAAAGACCCAGTTTCAAACACCATATTGCCAAAGGTAAAGCAACTTTGATCAGTATTAGAAGAAAAAAGAACCCCAGTACTGACTTTTTCATGGTTTTTAATAAGCTATTATTTTCTTACATGTACACTAGTAATTGTAAAAAGGCAAATATTTGCTACTAAAAGTTAAATACTGTACAAATTTATGAGAAATATAATTTTAAAAATTTACAAAAGTAATAAAGGGAAGGCATTTCAACTAGATTAAAAAAATCTTTTTAAGAAATGTAACTGGAAAATGGTAAATTTTAGTGAATTTACTGAACACACTAAAACCTTTACTGAAGTCAGAGACCTATTTTAGTTCAAGCCTTTACTTACATAACTTTAAATAAACCTTCAATGGGTATAATGCTGCTAAAAAGAATGTGTAACTGGGGAAAAAGGACTGCTAGAATGTGAACAACAGGGCTGTTTCTTTTTCACATCCTGATGCCTGGTCCATGTTAAAATGCTTTCGGAATTCTTCTTTGCTATGGGGCAGTTTTGGTCCTATTTTAAAGCTCTGCTCTTTAGTACTGGAGCTGCTCCTGGTTTTGGCCTTTGATTTTAAACTAAGACAAACTAATATGCATACATTTTTACATCAGCCTTCCGAAAGGAGCTTCCAAACCAAGTCGTCACTGAGCTGTGAACTTTTCTTATGTGGCCTGATCCTTTTCAGATAAATTAATTTCAGTGTGCAAAAATAATGCATTTCAAAACAGGATACGTAGGTTCATATGAATAAGAACAGAATAAAGGTCTTTTCTACATTTTTAACGAACAGATACATAGCATCTTAAATTATCATATAATTAGCAATTTTTAGCCATTGAATATAATACACTGTATTACAACGCAATGTGACAGGCTTCCATTTTAGGAACAAAAATAAATTTCACATGAAGAAAGATTTATTTTAGGTCACATAAAATACATTTAGAATAAACGCAAATTTTCAGCACTGAAGTACTTAGAAACAAACACAGAGAAGCTTTGAAGGGGTGAGTCCTCATTCTGTCCAAAGCACACACACCTAAATTTTACAATTACTGATCATCACCTCGTTGCCTTAAATTTCTACTTTTTCCATTTTCAATTCTTCTCTTTTTGAAGACTGGGGCCGCTCCATCTGCTGCACCTCCCAGAGAAGATACTGTTTTTTCTTTAAACACAACTTTGATTTCCCCAACATCAGTTTCTGAAGTTGATAAACATTCATTTTCAGTACTTGGAAGTTCCAAATCTACCTCTTCACTGGAAGAGAAAGAAAAATAAAATTACTATTTCACAGATCTCTGGCCTGAGTAGAAACCTACCAATCCAGTTGGGCCGGGTCAGTCCCCTGGCTATGGGACCAGCCTTAGGAAGGCAGGTTCACCTTAAGCCAGGCTGAAAAGACAGACAGAATAATTAATTTTTTAAAGTGATGGTAAACTTTTCCTGCCAGATCCCTGCCCCCTAGTGCAGTAGCGTGCCAGGCAGCTCATAGAGCTCTGTAAGTCTGCCTGCTCAGAAAAGTGTACCTTCTCCCTTTCTTCTTTCTCTTTTCTAAGCAAGCTTTCCTTGACACTTTGGGTTTCCTTGCTCTTTCTCTAAGGCTTCCTTCCCTACCACGTGGCTGCTGTGGGTCTGGCGTCCATGCTGGCTTTAAAAGGCATGGCTCTTTTCCTTTTCTCCTCTATTCTCTTCTTTAGGCAGCTACTGAGATTCATAAGCTGCCTATCCTGGGAGTTTTTCTTTTAAACTCTAATAAAAGTAAGTTTCCATTAGGGTCCATTCTTAAATTATTATTGAGACAAAGAAGGGACCCCAATTTTCTCTGTACTATTAAGACAAATATTTGCATATAAACTACAAACCAATAAAGCTAGTCATCACCTTCTAATGCTAATAGTGAGGTAAACTCAGAAGTGGGTCATGTAGGAACACTAAACTACTTCTGTTTTGGCTTTTTTGAGGCAGGGAGAGCTACCCTTGAATTCCATAATGTAGCTGTGGATTACCTTGAACTCTTGAGCCTCCTTGCCTCCACCTTCAAAGTCCTGGGATATATGTGCACCCCCATGCCTGGCTTTAAGCTATTTTATTTTTTTATTTTTGGTCTTTTTTGAGACAGGGTCTCCCTGTATCCCCAGGTGGCCTGGAACTCATGATGTAGACCAGGCTTGCTTTGAATTCAAGAGATTTGCCTGGATCTAAGCTATTTTAAAATACTGATTTTATGTAGTCTCAAGAAACTGAACTCTGATTCAGATGGACACATGCTAGGACAAGTCTTATTTGTTCTTTTATTTCTATTGCACAAAGGACACATCTTAGAAAATGCTGTACTTACACATGACACAGAGCACAAACCAAGAGAGGAAGTTCTGGAAATTGACAAAAATTCTGAAGGTTTATATAACATATGATGAAAAGAATGGAATCTTAGTATTCTAGTGTGGAAGATGCTCGAACCTTTTGCCTAGCACTTTTCTAAGAGCTAGCCCTTCAATTATCCACATGGTTATAAATACTCAGTTGGCTGGCCCAGAAATCAGTGCCTGATTAACACAAGCCCTACCAGTCAACTAGCCTATGAAAGATCAAGCAAGTCACATTATACTACCAATCCAGACCATGAATTTCTGACATAAAGCAGAAAGACCACATGACTAGATTCAGTGGCTGAGCTATAAAGCCTGCTGGGAGCCACTTACCATCCTATTTGGAGAAAAGGACTCTGGAGAGAGAATTAAAGCTGGCACATAGAGAAAAGCAGAGATGGGGGATGAAGAATCTAATTTGTTTCTTTTTTTTTTTTTTGGTCTTTTTGAGACAGGGTCTCCCTGTAGCCCCAGCTGCCCTGGAACTCACTATGTAGAGCAGCTGGCCTTAAACTCACAGACATCCTCCCTGCCTCTGCCTCCTGAGTGCTGGGGCTAAAGGCCTGCACCACCACACCCAGCAGAAACTACACTTTTAATGAGCATAGCCTGCTTGAAATCCTGGCTGCAATTTATTGACGTATACAATACATAATAGTGGGATTAAAGTGTCAGGTACTTACTGAGTCTCAACCTCTTGTTTAATTTCTTGCCATTCCCCATAAGGGTTTGGTTTTTTAAGAGTTTTGGATTTTTCTTCATTTGTACTTGATGAATTCTGTTTTGGGATACTTTTTTCTTTTTGTATTTCTGGTTCAGTTTTTTTCTCAGTATTTTTACTTTTTTCCTGAAATATAAAAGTCAATAAATAATACATTTCAAGCAAAATTGCTAGAGTTAAAACCAAATTTCCTTTGCCTTCTTTAAAAAGTCTTGTAAGTAATGCCCCAACTCATTTAATAGTTTTTTTTTTTTTTTGGTCTTTTTGAGATAGCGTCTCCCTGTAGCCCCAGCTGACCTGGAACTCGCTATGTAGACCACGCTGGCCTCAAACTCACAGAGATCCACCTGTCTCTGCCTCCTGCGTGTTGGGATTAAAGGCATGCGCCATCACGCCCGGCATGATTTAATGGTTTAAATTTGAACACAACACAATAATGTACATGAAAGAACCTGATCAGGTTTTTCACTGTCTACAATGTTAATGCATTGTTTGTTGCTGTCATGAGTTGTAAAATTAAGGACATGTAAATAGGCCCTTTCTTTTCTCTTTTCTGCTTCACTTTTCTCACATATATCCAATGTCCTCTGTAATGTAATGTAATGTCCTCTTTATACTTGCTCCTTTTGAATGCCATTATCATCAGATCATTCTGTATCTATGATCTGTTAAAGAGCCCGTTCTACCTTAACTGAAATTCACCTTTATTTTGAGGTTACTATTAAGAGCCTAACTGGCCTATATAATTAGCAACTTTGTGAGAATTAGAGACTCCCCTTTTGGGCAGAAGCAGCCCTCACAGAAGTCTCTGGATGGGGCTGGTACTTTATGACAGTTCTTCATCTGGGCAACAAAGGCCTTTAGCCCACCTTCCCATTTTAGGAAGCATACCAAACAGTAACTGGATTTTACCTTCTTTACAAATTGTACAGTCATGGGCAGCTGCCTTGGAATTCTGTTGGCAGGCTATGCATGACTCTTATCCCCCTACGTAGCCCAGGCTGGGCTCAAACTTCTGATTCTCTTGTATTAGGTTCTTAAATGCTATGATTATAATAATGTGCCATCATGCCTGGCGACATTTTTTTTTTTTTTTTTCCGTTTTTTTAAGACAGGGTCTCCCTGTAGCCCCAGCTGTCTTGGAACTCACTACATAGAAGAGGCTGGCCTAGAACTCAAAAAGAATCCACCTGCTTCTGCTTCCCAACTGCTGGGATTAAAGGTGTGTGCCACCACACCTGGCTATCACTTTCTATTATTCCTTTTAATTTTTAATATATGTGTATGTGTCTGAGTGTATGCCACATGTGTAGGTGCTCTCGAAGCCCAGGAAGCAGGTGTCAGATCACCTCAAGTTGGAGTTACAGGCAACTGTGAGTTCCTAACATGTGTGCTGGGTATTGAACTCATATCTTCTGCAAGAGCAGTACACAGTACATGTTCTTTTTTGTTTTTTTTGGTCTTTTGAGACAGGGTCTTCCTGTAGTCCCAGCTGGCCTGGAACTTACTATGTGGACCAGGCTGGCCTCGAATTCAGAGATCTGCCTGCCTCTGCCTCCCAAGTGCTGGGACTAAAGGCCTGTGCCACCACACCCGACAACATGATTTTCTTAATAAAATCTTTTCCCCAAGGTATGGTACTTTCTACTTTGACTCTTAGACAACAAAGATCCCTTTCCTGAAAACCATGCTACTTTCTATACTGGTTTGTTCTTCCTTATATGATCTAATGATCTTTGTGGTGGCTATTCTATATTCACTGACATCACTGGCAACTCAGTCCCATTTTTCCTCTAGTCAAATCCCTACTGCCATCCTAGGAAACTTAAAACTCCTCTGGCTTTTGTTTATTTTTGTGAACTTCAAAACTAATGATTTTGGCATTCACTGTGTCACAGTCACCTAGCAGTAAATCTTTCCTTATATACAGCAGCTGGTGCACCGATCATATTAAAACATATGGGGATATAGCTCAGCTGGTAAAGTGTTGTCTATTACAGACAAGGCCTGCATTCAACTCAGGGGAGCCCTGCATACATTGTGCATGGTGGGGTGTGCTTGTAATCTCAGCATTCAGACTGTGGAGGCAGGATGACCAGAAATTCAAGGTTATTCTTATTTAGCTGGGGAGTTTGAAGCCATTCTGGGCTAGATACCCTGACTCAAAAACAAACATCCTTACACCTTCATTTGTTTTAATTTAAACTAGGTCAGCACTGTGAAATGCCCTAAGAAATCTTAAAAGAGAAAGCCCATTCTTTGATGATGTCATTCTTCTTTTGGCCTTCTGACTCCCTCACTAGTTCTAATATATCTCTTATCTGACCCCATTATTATCTCTAATACTTCTTGTGATTAGAGTTTGTTGGTCTCTTCCAGACTTAACATCCTTTTGGAGTCCCAAACATACAGTTTAACATTCCTTTAAGCATTATTTTAACAGCACCCTAAATACAGTTGTTTATATGCTTCTCTACTGCACAGGACTGAAAATTTTTCATAGTTGTACATAATTATCTGTCTGTTCTTAAGTTGGATCTGTCAAGTGTTACCTACCCACAAATCCATGCCCTTCTAATTAGAGCACTTTTAACAATGCTTAGTAACATGCCTCCAATTATTTCTTCCTGTAGTCCCCTAAATGGTCACTGAAGGCAAATATTCTTCTACATAGAGATAATTAATGGTGCATTCATATTGTGGACTATTATATAGCCACTATTTTGGCAAATGAAGAGTTATAGGTGTCTTGTGATAAATTAAACTGAAAGCTGATAGTAAAATCTTATTATAGCACTGGGTCTGTATTTTAAAATAATATGCATGTTGGCTGGAGAAATACCTCAGTGGTAATAGGTGTGTTTAACATACCCAAAGCACAGGGTTCAACCCTTAAACCACTCCTATGTGTATGTGTCTGAATAGAAAAAAGGTAAGACAAAAACAGGTCATTATAGTGACTTCTGGGAAGAGGCAGGAGTAAAAGCCGTTCCATCGCTGTTTTGTCTCCATTTTGTAATTTTTTTAAACAATAGACACATGAATTATGATAGAGAAAAATTGATACTGTTTCTGTATCTGCTGGCTATCAGGACATCTAAATTTGACCATGAACATTGGAGCTGATACTACAAGGACTTTGCTGCCGCTTCTCTACAAAGGTGATATGTGTTTCCTATGTCCCATCAAAACCTACGGAGTAGAAAGAAATCCTAGGTAATGACAAGAAAGCAGGGGTGGGTCCTCACTTCCCCACACTTCTCAGGCCAGTAATCTCAACTCTGTTTAGTGCTATCATGTAGGTACTGTGTTTCTGGAGCTGGTCACAAAAGCAGTACAACTGGCCAGACTGTAAAAACATGGGTTTCACTTTCTTGCCATGGCTGGGAATCACCTACCAATCATCTTACTTGATTTATTTCCTGCCCCACTCCAGCCAAGTGATGATTTCAACTCATTAATGTTGTCCAGTCCCCAAAGTTCCTTACACTTAACAATATTTCTTTCTTTAGGAATGGAAAACAGGCTGAAAGACACGACTCAGGCCAGCGCAATGGTCCAGTGGGTAAGGGTGTTTATCACACAAGCCTGATGCCTGAGTAAAATCCTGGGAACCCACATAAAGGAGAGAACCAACTCTACAAAGTTGTCCTCTGATAACTGTGTGCATGCCCTGTTCCCAACAACAATAAATGGTAGGATTCTCACTTTTTTCCCTGATACTATTTTGTATCAGATTCCTTATAGAAACAGAAAAGCTAATCTTCTTACAGGAAATGAATTTATTTCTTATTCAAGACCAACCTATTTGCTCTTGTTGATAGTCCCATTTTCATTTGAATTCTCTCACAACAAAATCTGTCTGTCAATACCTAGCAATCGTTTTCTCATTCAATTTCTATCCAAACCATACACACACTTGAAAACTAAAACCCAAAATGATGTCTAAACTTCTAGAAGGACACTGAGGGCTTCCAACTAAATTTTATAGAAATACTTTCTTTTTCCAGTTTTACTTTTTTCTAAAAGTAAACTTTTCTTTTTACTACATCTTTACTTTTTTCTTTCTTCTTTTTTTTTTTGAGACAGGCTATCTCCGCAGCCAGAGCTGGCCTGGAACTTGCTATGTATACCAGGCTGGCCTCGATCTCAGAGAGATCCCCCTGCCTTTGCCTCCTTACTAATGGGATTAAAGGTGTATACCACCATGCCCAGCTTGTGCTATTTTTAATTTAAAAAACTTTATCTTTAAATTTTATGTGTATGAGTGTTTTGTCTGCATATAAGTATGTGTACCATATCCATTCAGTGCCCATGGAGGGCAGAACAGGGTTGAAGCCCCTGAACTAGAGTTGTAGACAGTTGTTAGCTGCCGTGTGGGGTGCTTCAAGAGCAGCTGGTACTCTTAACCAGTAAGCCATCTCTCCAGTCTCATACCTTTACTATCTTTAAAAATATTTATTTTTTGAAATTATGTATATGGTTATGTAAACTGAGTGCAGGTGCTTGATGAGGTCAGAAGAGGCATTGGATCCCCTAGATGGAGCTGGAATTATGGATGCTTGTGAGCTACCCATGGGTACTAGGAACCAAACTTAGGTCCTCTGCAACAGCAGTATGTGCTCTTAACTGTTGAGCCATCTTTCCAGGCTAAATTTTTACTTATTTACATATTTATTAGTGTGTATGCATGTATGTATGGGTGAGTGTGTGCCACAGTATACATGCACAGGTCAGAAGCAGCTTGTGGCAGTTAGTCAGTTCTCTCCTTCCACCATGTGGGACCCAGGGATTGAAATTAGATAATCAGACTTGGTGGCTGAGCCATCTTTCTGGCCCAGTCATTCTTATTCCAGTGGTGAAGTTCAATTTATTAAATTTAGGTGCAGTAAGAGATTAACAACAATCATTACTGGTAAATATTGTAACAATATACTACAACAGCAGATTTCATGATACCATTCAGGAAGATATAAAATAAAACACCAGGCCAGACAGATGGCTCAGTGGTTAAGAGCATTGGCTGCTCTTGCAGAGGACCCGGGTTCAATTCCCAGCAACCACATGGTGGCTAACAACCCTTTGTAACTCCAGTTCCAGAGGATCCAAAGTCCTCTTCTGACCTCCTTGGGCTTTGCACGACACTGGTTACTTACCTACAAGCAGGCAATACACTCATACACATAAAATTAAAAAAAAAAAAGATTAAAACTCACGAATTGGGGCTGAAGCGATAGATGGCTCAGCGACAAGAGCACGAACTGCTCTTGTAGTTCAGTTCCCAGCACCCATATTAGGCAGCTCACCAATGCCTGTAACTCTAACTCCTAGTGATCTAGCACCCCCCCTCACATCTGTAGGTACTGTATTCACATGCACAAATCTGTAGTCATACATACATAATTTAAAAAAAAAACAACTTAAAACTTATGAATTGTCTTTGGAATTTTCCATTTAATATTTTTAGATCTTGGTTGACCAAGAGTAGCAGAAACAGGGAAACTGAGTCTGAGAAAAAGGGGTAAGGGGACACCAAGTATATTTAACTTTATTTCTATTACTCATTAGAAGACTGAAGATCTACAGAGCTTCCTTATAGATTAATAAATTTCTATAGGAAATAAGCCAGAACTTACCTTGAATTTTATTATGAGCCTTTTTGTCTCTGTAGAGGCTTCTCCTTCTGCTTTCTGTTCACCATCAGAATCACTATGAGAATCTGATGATTTGGATTCTTCTAGGGTACCAGGTGACTGTTCATCAACCTTACTTTCTCCAGTGTGCGGAATGAAATCATCAGGTTTTTCCCATTTGGATTCTGCTCAATACATTTTAACAGTCCTATTTAGTTAATAATTCTATTCAGAAGTAATTCCAATATAATATTTTCTATAATTTACAATTATTAAATAATACTGCTTTGACATCACTATTAAGAAGAGTTCATGAACCGCTTTTAAAAGAAGGTTTTTTTTTTTGGTCTTTTTGAGACAGGGTCTCCCTTTAGCTCCAGCTGTCCTGGAGCTCACTATGTAGACCAGGCTGGCCTTGAAAACTCACAGAGATCCACCTGCCTCTGCCTCCCACGTGCTGGGATTAAAGGCGTGTGCCACCATACCTGGCTAAAAGATTTTTTTTTTAAAAGACCATTTATATGTGTGTGTGTGTGTGTGTGTGTGTGTATGTTTGTGTGCATGTGATGCAGTTGCCTGTAGAGGTCAGAAGTGAGCACTGGATCTCTTGGAGTGGGAGTTACAGACAATTGTGAGCTGCCCTACTTGGGTACTGTGAATTGAACTTGGGTCCTCTGGAAGAGTATATATGATCTTAATTGCTGAGCCACTTCTCCAGACTCAAACGTCTTATTCTTTTATCTTTCAGAAAATGATTTCGGACAATTTGGATTCATTAAACATATAAACTATAACTGCAATGGGAAGAGAGACTTAAGAACTGGGTAATACTTTCATAAAAATTTCAAGAAACATATTGATAATGACTCTACATGACAGTTCCTGGAATTTATCACAAAGATTTCCTGGATTTTTCACAAAATATATTGTGAAGATATGAATATGACATTTTTAGAGTGGAGGTATTTCAACTGGCTGGATGCCACTGCCATCTAGTGTTCACTGGACTTTTAGCAAATTGCAAGCATTTCTAAGAGCTTATAGTTATTCTCTAGTTACGTAATTTGTTACCCAAATGAGACAGTTTTAACTGAAAGGGGATAATAATTACATTGATAAGAAATACGTCCATTTTAACTCCAGAGAATAAAGAATGACTACAGGCTCAGTGACTTCACTATAAGCGGAGCACTGAGCTTAGATCTGTATTAATTCTTTTTTAAAAAATACTTTATTTTACGTGTATGTGTTTTGCTTGCATGTAAGTACACGGTGTATGTAATGCCCTGCAGAGGTCAGAAGAGGACTTTGGATCCTCTGCAACTGGCATTATGGACAGTTGTTAGCCACCATGTGGGTACTGGGAATCAAACCCAGGTCCTCTAGAAGAACAAGTGTTCTTAACTGTTGAGCCATCTCTCCAGCCCCAGATATGTATTAATTCTAAAACCCTACTCATATCAATATATTACTTGCTCTCTGTAAAGATTTAATAGTTTAATTTTACTGCTATCATTGGGCAGACTAGGTATCTGTTTGGAGGTTTAAAGGGCCATTTCTTCCTAAAAGATTTATGTCACACACAGGGTTTTAAATAGTACAAATTTAGAAAAATAAACCAATCTGATGGCAGACAGGAAAATGTAAAGATTGACAAAGATAGATACCTGGTCGTATTGGATGAGAAACTTGAGGGCATTTCACTGGAGAAACTTAAAGATGAACTACTTGAACAGCAACTTCATTAGATTGTAATACCAACATGCTATAAATTAATAACTTATTCAAAACTGCTGAATCAACTCAAGTGTTTGATCTAAGAAACACTGAAGACCAGCTGGTGGTGGTGGAACACACTTGTAATCCCAGCCTTTGGTGAGGTAGAGCCAGGAGGATCAGGACCTCAAGATTGTTCTCAGCTGCCTATGGAGTTGGAGGTCAGCCTGGGCTACTTCAGATTAAAGAAAACTCCAACAAAACAAAACAGAGAAAAGACAAGGCTAGAAACATGAAAGACTTAACTGAAGGATGGTTACATGAGAAATTTGGATTTTTTCCATTAATGTGAACTTTTGTGATTTTTATTTATGTATTAATGTGTATGTGTGAAGGACAGGGTCTCATATTTCCTAGGCTGGCTTTGGGCTTGCTATGTAACTGAGGAGAACGTTGAACTGATCCTTCTGCCTCTACTTCCCAAGTGCTGGGATTATGGACTTGAGCCACTATACCTGCCATCTCTTTTTGTTCCTGAGACAAGGTCTCATCCCAGGCTGGCTTCAAGCTCACTATGTAACTGAAAATTTCCTTGAACTCTTGATAATTCTGACTCTACCTTCCCAAAGCTGGGATTACAGGCATGTTTGACCACACCTGTTTTTTTGGTTGTTTTGGGTTTTGTGGTGTATGTAGGTATATGTATATATGTGTACTTGTGTCTGTACACAGGTGTGCTTACTGGTTGCATGGGCATGTGGCATGCAGAGGACAACCTCAGGTATCTCTATCACCTCCACCTTATATTTTGGAGGGGTAGGGTCTCTCACTAGCCCTAGAATTTGCCCTTTCAGTTAGACTGGCTGGCTAACAAGCCCCTGGGATCTGCCTATCTTTGCTGCTCCAATGACTCATGTCATCATGCTTGTATAGCAAGCACCCAGTTTTATGTTATGCTGAGGATTGAAGCCAGGGCTTCATGCATGCTAGGCAAACAGTATACCAATTAATCTACATCTCCAACCCCAATTTTGTTCTTTTAAAAGTAAGAGCCAGGTGTGGTGACACACACCTTTAGTCCCAGCACTCAGGAGGAGCCCTGTGAGTTCAAGGCCAGCCTGGTCTACATAGTGAGTTCCAGGACAGCTGGGGGGCTAAAGGAGACCCGGTCTCAAAAAGACCTATATATATATATATATATGATAAAAAGACACTTACCTCCTGTTTCTGTATTATAGTAATAGCTGTAACCATCTTCACTTAAACCCTCTACCCAAATGGCCTTCAATGAAGTCTGACAGGAGGAAAAAACAGAATACATTGAAAACAACAGTGGTTATATACTGAATAACTAAGGCAGATTTAGCCATCCTTTCTTTTCTACCTGACACCTGGAAGTAAAGGGTAGTGGTAAAGATCATGGTCACACACTCTGGTCTCTGCTAATCAGGTTCCAATCTTCAAGCAAAGAATGCCTTACCTCTGAAAGCCAGGAACTCTATCCAGGTGGACAGGGACGTGTGAGCAACAAATGACCAGAAACCAACTAATATTTATCTTATACAGGGATTTTTCTTTTTGGAAACATTCCTGTTTCATCTCCATCTAGTCTTCCAACAAAAGCTTATTTGGAAGTAAATTTGCTTAAAAAATTCTATAAAAAAACCATAGAAGCTAGACTGGGGATATAACTCAGAGGTGAAGTGCTGGCCTAGCATTCACAAGGCCCTAGGTTGAATCTCCAGCACTGTGAAAACAAACGACCAGCCAAAGAACCCAACAGTCACCCACTGACCCCAGAAGTCAATTACTTTATAGAATAAAGCAAAACATAAATATGCTTCAGTTACCTTTTTTAAGTTTCCTTGAAATCCTTCTGGTTTCTCCCACTGAGATGCTTAAAACAGAATATATTCATAAAATAATTTTGTTTTAAAATATAACATGAAACATAAAAGAAAAGCAAAACATAAAAAAATAGTGTATGCCGGGCGTAGTGGCACACGCCTTTAATACCAGCACTTGGGAGGTGGAGGCAGGCGGATATCTGTGAGTTCAAGGCCAGCCTGGTCTACATAGTGAGTTCCAGGACAGCTGGGGCTACAGGGAGACCCTGTCTCAAAAAAGACAAAATAATAATAATAATAATAATAATAATAATAATAATAATAATAATTCAGCAACATTAAAAAAAAACTTTAAAAAAAAATAGTGTAAATTGGTTAAAAAACCACAAGCTAGCCATTACATACAAAACACTATATAGGAAAGGCCTAAAAAGATGGTTCAGCAGTTAAGAACATTTGCTGCTCTTGCAGAGGATCTGGGTTTGACTCCCAGCATCCACATGGCAGCTTACAACCACCTGTAACTCCAGCTCCAAGAGATCTGACGCTCACTTCTGGCCTCCAGACACCAGGTACGCATGGTACATGGTACACATAAATCTTTAGAAACGAAAACAAAACAAAACAAAAAACCCCCACTATCAGACAATTTATAATTAAAAAAATGAAAGAAACAACGTACAACCAAGTACTGTGCAGAATACATGTGAGTGGTATGCAATCTAGAAGGAATGACAGAATGAAGGATCAGAAATTACCCAATATCCACAGGAATACTAGAGCCAGGGCGGCTTTTCTCAGAGATGGACAGAATTTAGGCTTGGTAGGTTTTGAAGGAAAGGGAAGGCCTTCTGTTGTCTTGGAGGAAAGGGAAAGTGAGAGATGGAATGAAGAGTTACTCAGCAGGGGAACAAGATGAAGTATGTAGAAACTGAAAACAAGTTATTGCGGCAAGAGTATATAAAATAAGATGGTGAAGAAAAGAGGTCCAAGAAGACAAAAGAAATCAGTAATTTCAGAGTAAAAAAGCCTCCTTGTCCCACGTACATAATTTTCTTTACATTTTATTTTTATTTTACATGTATGAGTGTATTTCCTGCATGTATGTAAATGTACATATGTTGTGCAATGCCCACAAAAGGTCAGAAGAGGGTGTTAGTTATGGTTTATTTCAATGTCAACTTCAATATGCATTTCACTTAAGAATCAGTGCAAATGAACTGTGAGAAATGACTAGCTGTGTGTGGTCCTAAACCAACTGTGATTCTAATAATCATAATTACAATACTGTCATCTCAAGGTTTTTCTTATGATTTACTGTCTTATCTCATTTCCTTACTTTCTCATCTTCCTTTACTTGCAGAGTACTGGTCAATTTTTACTGGTTTTTCTATCTATTCTTTAAATATATGTACCACTTGCCCTCCCTCACTTTTTGTCTATAATCTGCTTATCATCTCATATTCTCCTGAACAGTATGATGTTAACTACATATCCAATTCATTTTAGCTTTCTAACTACACTCTGATTGATAAGTTACTGAAAAATGCCACATGATTGTTTTCCCCTCACAGGTACCTCAAATGCACCATATCCAAAGCTGAATTCATTACTGTCCTAAAGCTTTCAAATCTATTTTTCCCTCTTTTCTATTTGGTTCCATCTATGTGAAATGCTGTACCTTCTTTAATCTACTTAAATTTTATTTAAAATACTTATGGATTATCAAACTGTGCCAAGGATACAAATGGCAAGAGAACACTCTTTTTCCCTGAGACAGTTTTATGTAGCCCAGACTAATGTTGAACTTGCTAAATAGTTAAGAATAAGTTTGAATTCTCGATCCTCCTGCTTCTACCTCCCAAGTGCCAGGATTACAGATGTTGTCTACCACACCTGGCTGACTGTATGTCTGGGCTACCATATAATCTTTAAGTTATGCTTCTACTATATAACACTTTTAAATTCCTCTTGAAGAGATAGGGGTTCAGCACCAGAGTGCATACCTGGCAAGCACAAGGGCCTGGGCTTGGTATCTAGCACTGGGGGAGTAAGAAAAAGCACCCAAAAGAAAATTTCTCTTTGTATCAAGCTTATTTTTATTTATTTATTTTTTATCTTTTTGAGACAGGGTCTTCCTAGAGCCCCAGTTGGCTTAGAACTTGCCAGGTAGATCAGGATGGCCTTGAACTCACAGAGATCTGCCTGCCTCTGCCTCCCGAGTGCTGGGACTAAAGGCGTGCGCCACCACACCTGGCTAAGCACACACTTATTTTTACCACAAAATTTTTTGTTTCTGGAGAGTAAAATAAATCAAATGAATTTCTTACCCTAGAATATATGGAATAAAAAGTCTGAATATATTTAGTTTTTAAGGAACACAGAAAGACATTTTGATATTCCTACTGAAAAAACACTATTTACTGAAATTGCTATTTGACATTAATATGGAGGGGAAATTTTTAAATTAAAAAAAAATTTCACTTATTTTGAGTGGCTATATGTGTGAGCATGTGTGTGGAGGTAAGGGGGTCAGAAGACAACTGGCAGGAGTTGGTTCTCTCCTGTTACTGTGTAGGTTCTTGGGATAGAACTCAGGTCATCAGGCTTGGTGGCAAGTGCCTCGCCCACTGAGCCCTCCTGCGGGCCCATAGTGCAACCTTACAATTTATAAAGTGGATGAGAATACTCCTACTACCAGGTAAGTGCTTTATCTCATGTAGTTACTACTTTTAAGCGATAAAAAAAAAATTTTTGTTTTTTTTTTTTGTTTTTTGTCTGTCTTTTTGAGACAGGGTCTCCCTGTAGCCCCAGCTGTCCTGGAACTCACTATGTAGACCAGGCTGGCCTTGAACTCACAGAGATCCGCCTGCCTCTGCCTCCCAAGTGCTGGGATTAAAGGCATGGGCCACCACGCCCAGCCCTTCTTTTGGTCTTTTTGAGACAGGTCTCCCTGTAGCCCCAGCTGGCCTGGATTCGCTAAGGAGACCAGGCTGGCCTCAAACTCATAGAGATCCGCCTGCCTCTGCCTCCCAAGTGCTGGGATTAAAGGTGTGTGCCACCGTTTTTAAGGAATCTATTATTAATACTTTAAGCATGAAACACTGACTCATAAGAAGCAGGATATATTTTAATTTTAGTATCCTTGCTTTGTCTCAGTCTGTACCCCAAGCTGGCTTGGAATTCACTATGTAGCCAAAGCTGGGTTCTACCTGGTAGCAGTCTTACTACCTTGGCCTCCTAAATGTTGGAACTACAGGGTACATATCACCACAACCAGTAAGAAAGGAACTTCTTTAAAAGGCACAGATTACCTTTCTAAGCTTTCTGGTAAAATGAAGTTATGGATTTTTTCACTGTAACATGTTCCAATATTAAAAATCTCAGCACAGAAACTGGCGTGTTCTATTCTACTAGCTCTGTGCCTACAAGACTTACCTCCTGTGATGAGATCATAATAGTAGTGGTAACCATCAGAGGTTATGCCTTCTAGCCATCTACCCTTTGAGGGTTCTTTCTTTTTCTTCTTCTTCTTCTTTTCTTTCAGCTGACTTGATGGAGGGGTGGGCTGAATAGTGCTGGTTACTGGTGATATGCTTGGCACTGCAATGTCTAGAGATAAGACAAAAGAAGGATAAACTTTACTTTTTTAAAGACTTTATTTTAGCTAGGCGTGGTGGCGCACGCCTTTAATTCTATTACTCCAGGAGGCAGAGGCAGGAGGATCTCTGTGAGTTCAAGGCCAGACTGGTCTACATAATGAGTTCCAGGACAGCTGGAGCTACAGGGAGACCCTGTCTCAAAAAGACCGGAAAAAAAAAATTTATTTTAAATTGTGTGTATGTGTACATAAGCGTAAGTGTCTGTGGAGACCAGAGGCACCAGGGCACCAGATCCCCTGGAGCTGTAGTTACTGGCTGCTGTGAGTCATCCGATGTGAGTTCTGGTAATAGAACTTTGATCTTCTGGAAAAGCAGTACATGTCCTTAACCACTGAGCCATCCCTTCTGCTCCTAATAACTTTACTTTTTTAACTGTCACAAAATCTTAATGTTATTTCACAGATGCCTAGCAAAGCAGGGGACAGTGATGCATGCCTTTAATCTCATGCCTCCTAATCTACTCAGGAGGCTGAGGCAGGATAAGTAGTTGAGACTAGTATAGTGGAGTCTCTTGGTTGTTTTTGAGACAAGGTCTCCCTGTTGCCCCAGCTGGCTTGGAACTCACTATGTAAATCAGGCTGGTCTTGATCTCACAGAGAACCACCTGCCTCTGCCTCCTGAGGGCTAGGATTAAAGGCTGCCACCATGCTAGATCTTTTTTGTTTTTATAAACAAAAGGTTGACAAGATTCTTTTGAGAACTTAATACAGTATAATAAAATTATCTGAGAAACAACAACATAAGAATATACAGGGAAAAGCTGTGTGTGGTATTACACAACTAATCAAAATAGTGGGGAGGCAGAGGTAGGCAGATCGCTTTGAGTTCCAGGCCAGCCTGAGCTACATAGTGAGACCCTGCCTCAAAAAAAAAGGAAGAAAAGAACTTAAGAGAAGCAGGGAGGAAGGAAGTAGGGGAATTTAATCCTACTTAACATTTCATTCTAGGGGCTGGAGAGTGTTGCCCAGTGGTTGTACACTTAGTAAGAAGCCCAAGGTTTAATCCCAGCATTTCAAGAAAAGAAAAAAACAAAACTTATCCAGGTCTGGGGATATAAGTCAGCAGCAGTTTCCCTGGAGTATGCAGACCCTAGGTGAGATCATGAGTACTGTGGGGAAGGGAATAACACAGAAATAGGCAAACATATGATTTAAACAGAATGGTTTGGATTCCACACAATCAAGGAAGCTACAAAAACAAACCATTTAATAAAGGTGTAGAATGAGCCAGTGTATGCCTGTAATCCTAGTACTTGGGAGGTACAGGTAAAAAAATCATGAGTTCAAGGCCATCCTCAGCTACTAAGGGAGTGCTAGGCAGCCTGAGCTATATGAAACCTCATTTAAAAAAATAATCAATCAGGGCTGGAGAGATGGCTCAGCAGTTAATGGCCTCTGCAGGTACTGTACAACATGGGTGCGCTTAAATGCATGCAGGCAAAATACTCATACACATAAATGTAACAACAAAAAAATAATCACCCCAAATCAAAAAAAGCCCAGCAACGACAAAAAGACACACCAGGTGTTAGATATTGGGGGGACATGTCAAGAAATGACAAGATATGAACGGTAAAGCCATTTCCCACTCCCTTACCACTTGTTCACATCGATATAAATATTGGATCAAAAATACCTAAAAAGAAGAATACACACTAAAATGTTAAATTTGACTACATAATTAAGAACTTCTGCACAGAAAACTGAGGAAATAACCCTACCCCATATATACTAGAAAAATGAAAAAAATGAGGGCTGGAGAGACGGCTCAGCGGTTTAAGAGCACCGGCTGCTCTTGCAGAGGACCTGGGTTCAATTTCCAGCACCCACATGGCAGCTAACAACTATCCATAACTGCAGTTCCAGGGGATTCTGATGCCCTTTCTGACCTCCGTGGGCACTGCATGACATGAGTGCACTTACACACGTGCAGGCAATACACTCATACACAAAATAAAATAATAAAATATTAAAAAATGAAGCTGGGCATGGTGGCACATGCCTTTGATCCCAATACTCTGGAAGCTAAGGCAGGAGGATCTCTGTGAGTTCAAGGCCAGCCTAGTCTAAATAGTGAGTACCAGGCCAGCTAGGGCTACAGGGAGATCGCTGTCTCAAAACAAACAAAAAAAAATTATAATGAAGGAGTCAGTGTCCCTAACAAAGATTCCTTATAACTCAAACATCCTAATAGAAAAATAATAAAAGAAATTTCTTTTTTTGGAGATCAATATAAAAGCATGATAATATCCAAGTATGTATGGATGTGAAAAAAGTTTATGGCTTTAATTTTTTTCTAAAAGATTAGTAATATTTCCAACAGCAGTTAACAAATTTTTTTTTTCTAGTAAAAATGTACATCAGACCAAGAGTCATGGAGACAGTTTGATATTGGCTCTAATAGTGTGTATTTGCCCTTTGATACTGGATTTCACATCCAGAAATTGAACTTATGGAGAAAAATAAACATGAAAAGACATATCCATTATACACAAAAGCATTTTTTCTTTTAAAAATTATTTTGGTTTGTTATTATTATTGTGTATATGTATGAATGTGTGTGTAAATGTCATGGCACACATGTGGAAGCCAGAGGACAACATTGTAGAGTCAGTTTTCTCCTTCAACCTTTACATGGGTTCCAGAGATTGAACTCAGGTCACCAGACTTGTGACATAAATATTTATTTTTATGTGTATGAGGGTTTTACCTGCATGTATGTATGTACTATGTGTATTCAATGTCCTTGGAGGTCAGAAGAGGATGTCAGATCCCTTGGAACTGAAGTTATAGTCAGTTGTTAGCCACCATGTGGGCGCTGGGAACCAAATCTAAGTCCTCTGCAAGAACATCAAGTGTTCTTAACTGCTGAGCCACCTCTCCAGCACCATTTCACTCTATATTTTTATGTAATATACATATGAACAAATATATTGTTAAGATTTACTTAAGTCTGGGAGTGGTGGCGCATGCCTTTAATCTCAGTACTTGGTTGGTAGAGGCAGTGGATCTCTGCGTTCGAGGCCAGCCTGGTCTACATAGGGAGTTTCAGGGCTTTATATTGAGATTCTACCTCAAAAAAAGGGTGTCTTACATAGATTACATAGTGAATTTGAGATAACTATTAAGGGTGTCTTACATAGATTACATAGTGAATTTGAGATAACTATTAAGACTCACTCATAAATAAATGGCTTTATGGAACACTAAACCACTTCCTTAAATAATAATGTTTAGAATATATTTGACAACTATTCTTATTTAATGAAGGTAATGTCAATTAACTAGTATTCTGCTGAAAACCCTAATTAAAAGCTATTTTTATTGGTCTAAATATTACTGTATACTGAAAAATCTGGCTGGGGCTGGGAGTGGTGAAACACATCTTTAGTTCTGGTACTCGGGAGGCAGGGGCAGGAGAACCTGTGAAATCAAGACCAGGCTGGTCTACAAAGTGAATTCTAGGTCATCCGGGGGGCTACAGGGAGACCCTGTTTCAACTCCCTCCCACAAAAAAGAAAAAAAAAAATCTGGCTGGGCTACCCCACTCACTATTGGCTGGCTTTTATAGTGTCAGAAGCTGCTACTCCGATTGATAATAGTCCTGCTTGGCTGTGGGCCCTGTATGCTACCAACATGTCAGCCAAGATGTGCCCACTGGTGCAATACTGGCAAGACTATTATGGGTGCCACCAACAACTCTTTCCTGTTTTTTAAAAAATTGTGTATATGGTGGGTGCATGTGAGTGTAGAATTCTGAAACTGATATTTCTCACCTGGAGCTTGCTGAGGCTGGTTAAACTAGCCAGCTTGACTGGGATCCTGTCTGTCTCTGCCAAGTACTAGGATTACAGGTAAGTGCCTCACCTGTGTATCAAGAGCTTATCTACTGAGACATGTCCTCAGCTCCCAAAACCTTTTGGATTTGGATTTAAAGTCACTCCACAGAAAGGGTTCAAGTCTGGTATTATAAGCCAGGGGAAAAATCTGTGGCTGGACTGATTCATGGGCCTCAGTGGGAAAGCAACTGCTATTGTTTTTGAATGGCTGTGATGTATCTAAGTGCCTTCTAAATAGTTGTGTTTATATCCATAGAGTACTGCTGCAGTCTGCTTTGGTTGCAGAGGAAAACCATAGAGTGGGCCCATGGTTACTGATGGAAATACTCATAACTGGTTAAATTACTAAGAGTAAGTGACTGCTATAGTATGACAACTCCAGGTTCATAAAGGGATCTTGCACATATCACTTCTTCTAAGGCTCAGGGAACCTCCCACATGAAGTACAAAGGATGTGACAGCCTGGAGCTGTGTGTATCTGTTCTAGTATAGCTTTTTTTCCCATCATTTTCTTGGGATAAAGAATATCCTGGTCCAGTCATGGTAATGAAATGAATAAAATAGAGTGATAGATTATAAATGTTAATGGGAATGGAGCCATTGACATTCCCTAATAGGAGAGGAGGGTCTCAGGACCCTTACCTCCTCACCTGGGATTCTAGCCTATTATTCTATCCTGCCTAATCCCACACCCTGCCCCAGCAACAAGTGATCTTGGGAGATGCTAGAGTATAAAAAAGTGTAAGGCTAAATGAAAAGGGACTCCATGATGCAGCTTCCATGAAGTAGTCATCCATGATAGGATGTGCCTCTGTGGTGATGCAGCTGTGTGTGGGTTACCCATGTTGTCTAAGCCCAATAAATTCACTGGTTCACAAAAGCAAAAAACAAACAAACCCATTCCACATTGACTGTCCTAATCACTACGAAAGATCAACTGGGTCCTACTACAGCCCTGATTTAGGGATAATGGATTTGTGTTCTGGTTCAAATGTGAAATGTCCCCTACAGGTTCACACTATATACATATAT